TTTAAAAACGCTTCAAAAAGTTCACCAGCAGCAAAAAATACAATTAAGAGATCCACTACAGTGAAAAATCCAACAAGTGGTGAGGCCTAGTAGACAGAAACACTGTCGCTTGAAGCAGATACCCCCCTCTCTATAAGCTTCAACTGTATCCCAGTAGATACGTTATGAAATAACATTCAGTTGCTATGAAGGGGTAAGCTATCTGTGGAGCCCCAAGAAGCCTTTTGTAGCAGTGTGTACATGCTTTTTTAAAGTAAAATTGGTCATTTTAACATAAGAGTCAGCGGATCAAGACCCACATGGCTACCCTCAAATGAGAAGAAATTGGTTAGGTTGTTCAGAAACTATCAAGCCTCAAGCCTGCCGGAACACCAGCAGCACTGTTCACAGTGAAGTCAGGACCGAGGACGTAGGGACCAGGAACGAAGCTCCGCTCCTTCAAACTACACTAATATTTGCCGTTGCCCACATAGACAAGCTAACTACCTTACGGACAAAGATGGAACTGTTTGGCCACAATGACAAGAGATAAGTTTGGAGGAGTAAAGTTGAAGCTTTGAAACCCAAGAACACTGTATAAACTGTCAAGGATGGTGGTGGCAGCATCATGCTTGGGGTATGTACTGCTGCCAGTGGCACTGGTACGCTGCACAAAGTAGATGGAATACTGGAAGGTTACCTTCGAATTCTTCAGCTTCACCTTAAATGTGCAGTTTGAGACTTGGGATACAATGAGAAGTTCCAACGGGACAATGATACCAAATACACATTAAAGATGGTTTTGGAAAGGATAAAGCAGGCTAACATTAAGCTTCTGGAATGGAATTCCCAAAATCTTGACCTCAACCCTGTTGAAAGTAGGGCTGAGCTGGCTCGAACCAAGAAACCAACCACTTTAAAATGAACTCTAACAACTCCGTCGAGAGGAGTGGTCAAATATCCAGCAAAAATTATGCTAAAAGCTTTTCACCATGACTCATGTTTTTTGAAGTCATTAAACATGAATGCTGTACAATCATTTCACGCTGGAAAACAACAGTTTAAGAAAACCATTAAAAAAAATGTTCCTGACCTTTACGACCAATAATAAGTGGATGTAAACAGCCGTCCACCACCAACAACTACTATTGACCAGTTTAAATCATGATTGCCTCTAAATAACATAAAATGAATCATTGTTGTGTAAATGACTTTCTTAAGTCATTTATAATGTTAATGTGAATCCAGTAAAAGCTCACTGCCATGTTATTTTGTATACTATACTTCACAGTTTGACTCCAGCTTGGACAGACCACAAAGCTTCAAAGTTAAAAACAGCTTTCATATGTTTTATATATAAGATCACAGAGCTGTCTTTTTCACTCGATTATGACCTAGTTTCCAAGCATCATAAGTCTCTTTATTTGCCCTGCAGGTAGAGTTTCCTACCTATTAAAAATAGCTGCATGGCACAGTGTTTTTTATCCAAGCTACTGTCACTGGCAGTGTTCACGGAGGTGTGAAGAGCTGAGGTTTGTTGTTCCTGCTCTCGGTGTGTTTGCTGTTCTGCAGATGTAAAATCAAGACAACAGCCTTATCCTGGACTTCAGAGTCAGGAAAGAGGAGGCGGTTTGGTGCTGGAGGGGGTTGAGCTTTGGGTGAGGAACAGCTGAACAAACAGAGTGTAGAGAGGGAGACAGGAGGAGAGAGAAACCCAGAGTTTTTCTCCTGTGTGCACCACGTAATTTGAGCAAACCCATTAATCTGGGGCCGTTGGCTCTTCGGGCCCTTGGGGTGTTGAGTTTCTGTGACAGATGAAAAAAAACGCGGCTGGTTCGACTGGAATCTGAGGCCGACCTCGTGCCAAAAATGAACCATCCTGAGAGAGAGGGCGGAGTTTTGGATCTATTTTGATATGGTCATCCGATTGGCTGAAAGACATCAAAAGGATCCGTAGGCTGAAGGGCCTTTGTATCAAGGCAGGGCTCCCACTCTGCAAGTAGATTTTTTCTGCAACATAAGGCTGGCATAACTGACAATAACACAAGGAGCTAACAAGTAGCACTGTGTGGAAGTTTCCTTTAAATATTTCAGCACTGTGACTAAACTTTCAGATACTGTAGATGTTCCCAAATTAATTTGTACATAAAACAATGACCGTAAACAGGCAGAGCCTGGAAAAGATGAACTTCAGTCACAAGAAGAGGAAGATCCCCATAGAGATAATAGTCCAGCATCATGAAGAGACAGGAGGCACTGATACTGCCTGAGTTTACAGAAGAGCTGTGGCAAGTTTAAAATCCTTAAAAGTACCTTGAAAGGTTTGGTGTTATTTTGAAGATGGAGGACAAACCAAAGACTGCTCCGATTCAGGATTGTTCCGTTAGAACTTTTTCAAGTTCACAGTAATCAACTTTTTGCAACTTAAAGTGTGAAATTCTCAGAAGTATAATAAACCTTTGCACGGTATGACCTCACAATGAGTTAATAATCACTTACTCTAGATTTGTTTCTTCGTAGCACAGGCCTGAGGTCTGAGCTGAACCTCACCTGGTGTGGTCGGGTTGAAGTTTATTTTTAAGCATTTACAGATACGACTCAGTTTCACAAAGCTGAAAGTTAATTGTAAACATTTCATTATGGTCTTAACTGGCATGTTATCACAACCTTACAGGCCAACAAAAATAGGAACAATTGTTACTAAAGAAACACCAAAAATGCATTCAAGTGAAAGTGTTGCATGAAGCACTGAAGAATAATCCAGACTCTCCAGAACTTGGAGGAAGTCCGAGTAGTATTAACTCAAAGGCTACTGTTTGGTTTCAGGACTGTGAAAAGGGAAGCGTCATTATCTGCAAAAAACTTTAACAAGTCTCTATTTTTGGGGGGGGGGTGTTGTTAGGTTTCATTCACTACTGAAGTCAAACAGCAGCTTCCATATTCAGCAGCCAAATCACAGAGTGAAGTGGCAGACCTGACACCAATCTTAACATGAATAATATATTAAATTTAAGAAAACAAATCATTACAAACTGACATCAGTGTTGCTTTGTTATCAGTCTGTGAACTTGTCCGTCTGACAGAACAAAAACTGGGTTTTGGGTAACTGTCGCTGCACATCTCCAAGTGTTTCTGATTTTAAAAAAGCAATATTCTCCCCGCTGACAGGATGAAACCTGTACTACTGTACTGGAACACAATTTGAAATTATCAGTCTTTACTTGACCTCTTTTTTTAAGTACTTGCATTCATTGAACTATACTTTAACATTTTACAAGTTTGTCATCAAAGGTGCAATTAGAAGCACATCAGTGAATCCTGAGGTTACTTTGGCCATGATATTAATGCAAGGCATTAAATGTTACTTCAGGTTTCCCCACTACATGCGGGAGTGATGCAGAAGCGTGATGTTCCTTATTACCACTAAGTATCAAATAACTGTGACTCATATGAACTCTGTTAGACCTAAGACGCTGTCTGCGAGTCCCAGTGACAGACTGACAGGAGTGTAAAAGCCTGTCTACTGCTGATTACAAAGTAAGAGGAATTTCATTAAAGAAAAAGAGCCATTGCATAACCAAACCCACCACTGACCTACTAGTCTGCTGACCTGGACTGATTTAATCGCAGTTCAGGTCAGCACGCAATTATTATAAAACCTCTTTAAGCCCATTTAGGACATTCAAAAACAAGTTATAGATGTTTGTGGTATAAAATTTTCTGAAAATCTTGATTTAAAAATGAAAGTTTGACAATCAGGAAAGTTTGAAAGAACAGTCTACCCTCCAGCACAGATACAGCTCTACCAGGAAGGAAACTGCATTCCTTTTAAATGTGCTGCAGGATAAAACTAAACATGCTGTCTGTGGAGGGAGAAAGCTGGGGAAGGGTTAACGTTTTCCTCCCTGCACGGTGTCCTGGCATAAACACATACAGGCCCCCATTCATCTGTCTGTGCGCTCAGCAGCCTTGAAAAGTTACTGCAGTAGCGGGGAGGAGACATTAGAAGAGGAGGGAGGGAGGACAGTGACTCAGGAATTCCACTAAGGAGCACGTGACCCCTGAGCAAGGCATTTACTCCCACCCCCCTACTCTGAAGCAGGGCCCCCTCCTTATTTTCTTCCTGAAGTCAAAGCAGTCAAACGTGACAGCGAGAGAGTATCCACAGACGACGCTTCGATATACACGTTTAAGTAAATGCAAAGCAAATAAGACAAATAAACGTCGCTGACACGGGGGCGAGAGCGTGGGGGGATTTAAGGTTCGTCCAAATCCGCTCTGACAGCAGCCATTTTGTCTGATGAAGCCGCTTTGTTGTGGAGAACGAAGCCTGTCTGAAACAGAAAAGAGAGCCCTGAGGTATTTCCGTCATCCTGACAGCGTGACAGAGGGTGTAACGTGAGGAGAGAGAAGGGAAAGGAGGAGGAAAGCAAAGGGCTGATCGCTCGGTTCCTGCGCTAACAGTCCCAGTGGGCCTCCGCCGCTCATGACCTCACGTCTCCCATGTGCTTTCATTGGAATCAGGGTGTGTTCAGTCAGCAACAGCTCTGATCTGCTGCCAGCATCTGACGAGATGTCAGGCTGATTTGGGTGCATGGAGGAGAAGCAAAGAGAAAACCTCTAGATCCAGACAAAGTGCCCAAACAGGACATGTGAGGCAGTTGTTTTGACATCAACAAACGCCGGAGCGGGTGTCACTTTGAAGCCACGGTGACTATTTTTAGGCCCTCCTTATCTCCCCCCGCACTCATGGGGCACGAGGCCTCAGCGCTGAGCAGCCTCTGCTCACCCACGTGCGATTTACAGTACACAGCATTTATGCAACGCACTTCTACTGCGGCCTTCATCCCCCCTCCTCCATCTCCCTCGCTCCCTGACTTTTCCCTTCCACCCACTGTTCCCTGGAAGCCAATTTGTTCCTGCTGGGAGGGATTGCATCATGACTGATTCACAATCAGGCCATGACTCTCCGACCAACTCCAGGATAATGGAAAATAAGCAAACCACAGAGACACTGGGGGTATTATTACAAGGTCTGAAACTGTATTTGGCAAGTGCATACATGTACAGCTAGAAGCATTTTTTGTTTCATTTATTAAAGGATTTTGCCAAGTGCTCAAATTAGTCACATTCTATGCTCGACAGGGACTGTCTGCAGACCTAAAGTACAACGACAGACTGAGAAGAAACAGCTGTGGTGGGAAAAAGGAAAAGTCTTACTGGAAACACAGTAAGAAACACAATGTATTAAAGAAAGAAGTCAAATTTTACAGCCACATTTATGAAGTATACACTCCCCTGTGTTCACTATGTACATGTCTGCCAGCTCCTCTGAGGCTTGCTGGGTGAGCTGTGTCTGTTACTTTATGTCCTGCTGTTGTTGCCATACTTGGGTTACAAGAGGGAAACAAGTTCACGAGAAGCAGTCGGAGAACTTTTTAAGGGTCCCGCTCCTTTTTTACCTTTATATCTCCGGCCAATATGGTGGTTATTTCCCCCTGCATGAAGGCCCAGGGTACATTGGAGCCAACCAGCGGGCACCTTTCACCACTGGGACAGTACACCTCGCCGGTGGCCCCCTGCTGCTTGATGCTCTCCCGGGAGCAGGGGAAACAGAACTTGTGAGAGGGCACTGAAGGGCACTGGACAAAATGAGTGTCCTCTAGCCGCTCATGGCACAGAGTGCAGCACAGCGGCACGCTGCCCGGCGGCACAGAGGAATCCGGAATGCTCTGTGGCGGTGGCTCCATACTGCCGGGACCATGCGGAGCAGAGGGGTTGGCACTCACAGGCCCCTCTCTCTGGGCCAACCTCCTCTGTGAGGGTGACAGGGGGCTCCCGCTGTTCCGTCGTGCCCCCGCCACGGTGGAATGTACCTGGCTGCCGTCCTTAGGTGAGCCCGTGCTGCCTGCGTTATCGGTGGCGAGGATGAGTGCAGTCATGGGAGACTGGCCATTCTGCGCTGTGGCAGCCTCAGGTGGTGTGGTGCGGGAGTGGGGGGAGATGGTTGATGGAGGCGCTGCAGAGAAGCCTGGCAGGGCAGCTGGGGGCATCTTCAGGACTTCAGAGGGTGAGGGGAGCCATGGCTGGCCCTCACTGCCGTTCATCTTGGGGACACTGCTCTCACAGTCTGGCTCAGGGGAGGCCTTCCTCTTCCCAGGCCGAGGGTGCTTCCCTCTGTCTGTGCAAAGGAAAAGCAGCAGGGTTAACAGCCACACTAACATCCCGGCCTGTGCAGACTATGAGGCAGGAAATTTCTAAACACCCTTCCCCCAACAACCACACACACACACCTGCTCCCGTACTGCTGTCTCACACAAGAGGTGAACGGGTGCATGCCAGCAGCGTGGCTGGGCGGACCCGTCACGATGGCGTAAATCCACGACACACCGTGTGTGAAGTGCTGACACATTAGTTCCCTGCTGTTTAGTTCCCGTTTTCATGGCGCGTGCCAGCTCACCACATTCTAATGCAGACACAAAACAAACAGCCTACCTGTTTTTGAGGAAGTGCCACTCATTTCGTACGCCATGACCCGCTGCATGGCGGTGTGGTCCTTCTTTACCCTGCCGTCGAACGTGTGCAGCATCAGGTCCCTGACAGTTTTGCCTTTGTTTATCCAGTCCTTGTGGCTGTCCGACATGTCCGACATGCTGTCCGCCCGGTGCTTGTCTTTCAGCTCCTCTGGGCGCTTGCCGTGCTCCCCGGGGACAGGCGCGATCAGAGCGCCGGGCAGACAGATCTGTGTCGGGCGGCCGCTGAGTGGATGTATGGCAGGTATCGCGCCGTTTACCAAAGGCACCAAGTTAGGAGGAACCGTGCTAGTCCTGCGGGGGTTGGGGCTTTGGCGGTTTAGCTCAGGGGGCTCGTCGGGTTTGGGAAATCCGTTGGGCATCGGGAGGCCGTTCGCCTGCCTGCCCGCCTGGTACTCCGGGCCCAGCCGCGGCGGCCTGTCTGACAGCGGATAACGATCCAGAGGTTGAGGGGGACGAGAGCCCAGGTCCCCAACCGAGTGATTGATCTCTTTCCCGGCGTGCTGGGGCTTCCCCGGGCCGGGAGAGCGGCCCTCCTGAAAGCCGTGTGCTCTCTTTAGCTGCCTGGCAGTCTCGATAACGAATTCAATCCGGTCGGCACCTTCGTAGTTCACACAACCACGGCAGACGGGTTCGGTAAAATCCCAGATCATCGCCCACGGCATGCGGGGCAGATCGCATAAATAGCAGGACTGCCTTCTGGAGGCAGCGACCGCCGTGGAAGACATATTGTATCCCCGTAGCGATTTCAAAATGTCCGACGGCTTGTTTACGTCGCGGAGAAGACGGAGAAAAAGACGTCAACGAGAATAAAATTGGCTGATTTCGTCCTCACGAAGAAGAACAGAGCACCATAGCTGTAGCTGTTCCCTCCGCGCGCCTCCGTCTGAGCTCGCGCTTACAACTCCGCTCCAGCTCTCAACGTACGGCCGTGACGTCAGCACAGACACTGCTCGTGCTCCTGGGTTCTATTTACTGGATTCTTCGACGACGCGCATGCGGGACCCTTTGTCCGGAGCGTTTACGTTTGAAGATATTGTATACCCGCGAAGAGGGACCGCTCTGTGTTTTATTGGGAGTGTAATAAAACACGGCAGCGATCGTAGAGCCAGAATTATCCTTATTTTTTAGTTTGTGCACACAAACAAGGAATTTGACTCCGGCTCACTTTGCTTTTCATCATATAAAAAAACCCCGTTATTTACAGCATGTTGAAAAGCAACACACATAGTCACATTACATGCAGAAAGTGTGTATACTTGATTATAATCTAATCTGCTGCTGGGTCTCTTTCACTCGGCAGGAATTGCGGCTCCTAAAACACACCAAAAACACCTGTTCAATTAAGAAAAATCATTTCACTTTGATCTGTGTCAAACTGAAGTCATTTCCACATTGCCAGCCTGTGGGACTGTAAGCTTTCATATTTAAATGATCCAATTTAAAGTTTCACAGCACTAGAATAAAGATTTTCTCCAGCATTAATTTCAATTCAATTCAATTTTATTCATACAGCGCCAATTCACAACAACAGTTGCTTTAAGGCACTTTATATTGTAAGGTAGACCCTACAATAATACATACAGAATGTATATATATATATATACATATATATATACCAGGCTCAGCGAGGGGCGGGGCCATCTGCTGCGACCGGTTGAGAGAAGGGAAACAGACCAATTTCTTATCTTCATTGCAACACTGATTCTTTTTACTGTTAATTTTTAATGTTATTTAAAGATTTCAATTTATCATCATCTGATAATGTCTTCGATGGAGTGAGCAGCATTCAAAGGACATTTTTCTGAAAGGTGTTCCTTGAGCCATGTGACCTGAGAGATTTTGTTAAACCAGTTAACACAAAGAAAGCCCGGCTGTGTTGAACTTCCTTTGTAAGACACCCCTCAGACCTTACAGAGTGTTTTTACAAAGCATGAACGTCCAGAGCTGAAAGATGAAGCCAACACGGAGGTGCCATGTTTACTTTGTTCTGTTGTACTAATATGCAAATTTAACTCTTTCTCTATTAGTGGTAAAATAGCAAAACATTAGAGATACAACAGTATAAAACAAATTTTCCACGTGTGGGACTAATAAAGGTTATCTTATCTTATCTTATAATCTGAAAAATATAAACAACAACATTAAAATCGCAACAACCAGTTAAATACAGTCACTGTGTGTGTAATTTAAATTTATTGTAATGACACTACACATGTAAAAAGACAATAACATGACAAACAAGGCTGTGTCTGGTTCCAAATGCAGTTTTTATGACACCGACCTGCTTCACGACATATTATACTTGGTTTGAAAAGGGATGCGTGGAGTTTGAAGCAGAGTGGGACCTCTTTTCATTCAATTCTTATCTTTGTCTGCAGGGCTCCAAGTGTTTTTCTAAATACCAAAGATGCAGACAGTGAAAAAATAATCGTCCGATTTAAATAATCAACTCTGCAGTGTCAAGGCAACAAGTGTTAAAGCAGTTCTGTTTAGGAGATCGGTGTGACGCTGAGTGGGTGTTAAATCCTTCTGTTGCATTCCAGTCTCGTTGCCAGGCACATCTGACATCAACACTGCAGAAGCCAATCCCAGAATTAAGCTGCTGTTACCAGGCAAACTGTAGACCTCCCTCCCTTCTATTCAGACTTCTGCTGAGCTGAAATGATCATTTTCCTCTCACTGGTATGAATAGTTATAGCAATAGAAAGCAATAACACAACTGGCAGTAATTCAACCAAAACCTACTTTTTGAAGTAAAATATTATAGAAATGGAAAGTATTTAAAAATGATAGCAATAGAAAGCCATTAAATTTAAAGTGATAATATACCCAGTTGCATTAAAATTAGCATGTATTTTCAAGTTTATTAAATGCAGGTAAAGCCCAAAGGCACAGAATAATCAGCATAATTGATTAGAAATAAGTACAGTGTAGAAAACTGGTGCTAAAAACACCCGTGAGCCATCATATAGATGTCCATTTATCCATCTATTTTCTACAGAGACACCCAGATCTCATTCTTCCTGGTCATCATCTCCAGATCTACTGGGTGGAGACCACAAATCAGCCGGCATGTCCTGGACACCATCCACAGCTCATGGCCATAGTTCAGGGTAGAAACACAGACTGATACAACATAGGAACATAAACAATTGACCAGTCATTCAACAGCTTATTTTTTTTCCATTTTAGCTCTATTTGACTGCAAACTATCCCAGTGTGAGCTGAAGATCACAGCCCGAGGAGGCCAAAGGAACCATATCATCTGCAAAAAGCAGAGACGTAGCAGAGATAAGCCACCAGAGTCAGCCCCTACTTGGGTGAGCCTAGAAGTTCTGTACATTCAATTATGAAAGAGAGAAACAATTAGAGAGGTGACCTTGGTCCCAAAAGCAAGAATTGTTGGGCAATGCTCACGCAATTCAGTTTATTTATCTAGTGGCAAATCACAACTATAGTTTCTTCTACATAGTAAGGTAGAGACCCTACAGTCATCATTTCTCCAGTCAGGCTTCAAGACATCATGATGTGCCTCATTTGCTCAGTCAGATGATGGAGGCAATGAGGGAAAGGAAGTAAGAGGGAAAAAGCAGAACAATGTATCCTGTTTTGCCAGTGTATGACTGGCCGCTGTAGGCAAATATTTAGGAGCACAGAACTCTTTGCATTCTGGACAACAGTCAACATGAGCTGCATTTAGTCAAATCTTCAGTGGGAGAGGTAGACAATTGGAGATCTGAAATGCAGTAAGGTTACATGAGGTGTAACCTCTCATCCAAAAGGCTACTTCATCAAACACTTTAGAGGAGTAGGGGAAACATCCCTAAGAAGGAAGAAGGATCTCCAAACTGGACTATACATGGTAGACAGTAGACTCAGGCATGTAGGAATGATAATAGTGTTTGTTAGTCTCCATAGGGAAATAGTTCCTCTGCATTTAACCCATTCACCCAGTGAAGCAGTGGGCAGCCACCAATGCAGCGCCCGGGGAGCAGTGTGTAGGGACGGTACCTTGCTCAGGGGTACCTCAGGGTAGCCGTTCAGTGGAGTCGAACCCCCGACCTTCCGATCATGGGGCCACCACTCTACCTACTGAGCTATCCCTGATTATTCCTACTCTCATTGCCAAAACTTGAGAGAACATTTTTTAAACAGCTCAAGAATGACTGTACTTTCTAATGAAGCTCATATCCTTTGATGATGGAGATCTTCTTCTGTGGTAGTGAGTACCATCTAGTTTGCTGCTGTCTGCTGGGGGGCAGCGTCAGTGCCAGAAATGCCAGCAGGATGAACAAACTACTCTGCGAGGCCGGAAGAATCATTGGTCAGAATTTGGGCCAGGAGGTCACTGAACCTACCCTCTCCATCACAGACAGCCCATCACACCCACTCCACACCTCTGAGGCAGCAGAGTGATTCAGCCTCGCTGCCATAAAGAACACTTTAGAAAACCTCTCTCTATAAAGCTGTACAATAACTTCATTCTGGGACAGGTTTACACGCCTGTCAGGCAAAAGATGCCAAACATATTGTTTATTATAGCTTCATGCAGCCGTTTATCTTACATCTATAGTGTACAGATTATTTATTAAAGCAATTTGCACTTCTCTGATACACAACGTCAGTCTTACTTTCACTGTTTTTAACTTAATTCATTTTAATTGTCTTTGGGCTTTGTTTGTTTTTTATCACTGTTGTATATATATAAATTCCTGCTCTATCTCATAGTATAATTTCCTCACCAGTCACCTGTTATTTTAAATGTGTAGTTTATTGTTGTTCATTGTGCAAGTTCAACCCATGCAAAAAATTATAAATAATAATATGAAGTGCATTCACTTTTTCTGAGCTAATTACAGATGAACTGAGGTGAAGTGGAAAACTCCAGTTAACTGACCAGTCAAATGCCCAGTTTGCCTCCTCCCTTTATTCCCAGCTGGTTGTGATAGATGGCTGCAGTAGCTCAGTCACCTCTTTAAGAGCCTCTGTGACAGGGTTAGTAGCGTTTTGTCATGGTGTGTTGTTATATATGTAACTGATTAAAGTATGTGTGCTGTTCATAGGGATTTTGTATACATGTATATTTGTATATACCGAAATATGTATTTATTGTGTCATGTAGTTTTTCACATGGTTTGATAACCTCACCTGAGGTAGTCTCCAAAAGTGGATTCTGTTCATCTGGACGTAGCGTTTTGTGGGAGAAACATTTTGTCACTCATCCAAGTGACTTCTTCAGTCTCAGCTGACTGCAGGCAGGTAGAGTATTAAATGAAGACAGCTGCTCTACGAGGGTTTCCTGTGAGTTAGCGAAGTCCTGTTTTTTGTTTTTATCTATTTGATATATAGCGCTGGAGTGTCCTAATCAGGATTACATCATAGCTAATTTTGTCTCAGTTTACTTGAAAGCCTTTTTCCCAGTGACCTTTGACTCTCTGCAGATCAAAGGCAAGGGGAACCTCTGCATGTGATCCTTCTTCCTACATGAAAACACAAACATCAAGCGACAGCATGCCTGACATTTCCCACATCATTCACTCAACACTTCAATACATAAGCACAAGTTTTCCATGTTTTGCTCTGGATCTCTAGCCATCGGTCCAAAAAATCCTAAAGAAATGTAAAGAAACACTGGAGTAGACATTCACAGTACATATATGAGTTACATGATTAGTTGGGATTTTGTTCATGTGAATATAGTTGCAATTACAAAAATGATACAGAAATTTATCATGTCCCATGGGTAAAGACAACCATTAATGTACATGAAATTCCTTTATTTGGGACACACACATGCAAATATATTAGGGGTGCAACAATATACAAAATTCACGGTTCGGTTCGGTTCGATACTTTGGTGTCACGGTTCGATTTTTTTCGATACAAAAAATGTTCATGCCTTTTTAATTTGTCATTTATTTAAATTATAAATATATATTTTAACTCGAAAGTACAGTTTTTAAATTTAATGTTGCTGAAACAACAAAGTAATAAAAAAAATAAATCTAT